CCTATATTTTAAGAGACAACCAATCCCTTCGTAGCTCCGTGGTTGGTTGTTTTTCACTGTCATTAGAAATTTGATTTTGAATCTTGACACTTTTAATTTTTAATTTAAACATTCTTATCTTGAAATTTTTTTTTTTTTGAAAGACAGTATTAAAATATTTATTAGATAGTCCTTAGTGGATCAATTCAATAAAGAATATAGTCAAACATTAGTGCATTAATATATTACGAATAAATAATTTATTAGATGAATTGGGATCATTGAAGGTTTTTTATTTTTTATTTTATTTCAAGGAAAGATGCGTTAGAAATTAGATTATTAGATATAAAGAGTTAAAATCTATACTCCAAAGTTCATCGGAGACACTAACTCACTGGACTATTGAGGCATCTATAGGACAATTAACATTTATTGGACCGGTTTAATCATGTGTTTGAAAAAATGAACCAACAAGAGTGTATTAGTATATTACAAAAAATTCTTAACATTAATTTATATTGAATTAGTTTACCAAGTGTCAGATTGTTTTGGACTGTTTAATAATTTCTCACAAGGAAATTTCAACACTAATTTCTATTTAATGAGTTCTCCAAACGTCAAATGGCCTAGATCATCGAATAATTTCTCATTCTTAAATAAGGGAAAAGAAGACACGTGGCTCCATTGATATACATATGGCAAATGGTGCTTATTAGTATAGGGTAAATTGCATTCACACCCTTCCAGGTTTGTGTTAAAAATGGGTAGTTATAACTCATGCACTTTTTTAACAATGACACTTCCCTAATAGTTTGGTAAATTGAACAATGACACCCCCAAATTAAGGTAAAAATACCTTATTTCCCTTTGACTTATTTGAATTATGAATTTACCATTTTAACATTTTCAAAACATTCATCTACTTACATTTGTCTATATCTATCACCACTACAAATGATTTGAGGAGAATTCATTGAAGAGGTCATATTGGTGATTCTCAAAGACAATTCTACTAATGGAAGCTTGGATCTTGAAGTTCCACCACTAAAGGATTGGATTAAAGTTTCGGGGGTTCAAATTAAAGATTTATAATTCTAGCGAATTTATTGGGTGATTTTCTAAAATCACTTTGGTGAGCATTCATCTACTCTTGTATGTGTACATGTATGTATCATCTTTTTTTTTTTTTTCTTTTTTTTTTTTTATCGAACACATACTGATCTACACATAAACACATCCGTGGGATTAAACATGCTTCCACTTAATTTTAAAAGTCTATTTCCCAAAAAGGAGATCATCTCACATGAAGTGTCATTTCATGTGAGATGATCTCCATGCTTTCTCTTTGCACAACATCAAACCTTTATTCGATTTTTGCTTATTTTAATTTTACCAAAATAAAACTAAATAACCTACAAAGCAAAATAAATAAAGTAAAGTTTGAGATGACAATAGGGTGTTAGTGTGGAAATTCAAATCGGGAGAAAACTACGGAGACTTTCGTAGTCTTGATCAAAACAATGCATTATCTCAAAGCAAAGTACAACAGACTTCGACTCGAACTCGCACCCTTTCCACTATATCAAGAACCAGTTGCTAAATGCAATTGGCTTTGCGATTCCTCGTCCAAGCGCTCTCGACTTCAGGCTTATTCCTCAATTCTTGTAGATAAGTTGATGGTAGAAATATGCTGGTAGAAATACGAACACTCGAATGATTGGTTCCTTTTGTAGTACGATTGAAACCTCATTTCAATGATTTGTAAATGAAAGAAGAAAAATCATGCTTTTAAACGGAATCAACTAGATCTTCGATAAGCTTGAACTCCGACCAGACAAAGAACACCATCCTAAGATCACTCATGTGTATAGAATGTGCTCTAAAAATATGTAGAATAATCAAATTGATTTTCTGAAAAATACTGTAAAAAAGTTCACTCAAATTGCATTAGTTTTTAATATCAAAAGTCATAATGAATTATGAGAAAAAAAAAAAATAGAGTAAATATAGGCATTAGATAGTCCTAACCTAACTTGAGAAATTAGTCAAAGTCATATAAGGATTTTTCTCCAGGTTTTAATAAAAAAGAAAAGTTAAATTAGACAAAAATTGTAAGTTTCCTTTTAAAATATGTGAAGTGTAACCGGTCAGACTTTGGCAGTTTGCAATTCTACTTTTCAAACAACCTCTCTGGCCAAGTGCTATCGATGGAAGGAAGTTGGACCGTTCGGACTTGTCCAATTTGTTATATTAAACATAAATACCTTAAATTCAAAGTTGTCCGACCAAACTATAACCGTGTAATGTATCCTCACTCATATACCTGTAATAAAATGATGTTCTTATCGAATCGAAGTTTTTTCTGTATATGTACGTAGTTCCGCTTCCAACATCAAGACTCAAAGTAAACACAAAATTACAACTTGATTGAACACATTTTGACACCAAATTAGTCAGTGGGATTTTTTTTTATATTTATATGGTTTACACATAAGTTCTGATAATTATAGAAGTACCTCCATTGAGATTCATAAAAGATCTTAAGAAAAACTTGCAAAAGTAAAAAAGATCCCTCATTTTTTTAACTCATTTGCCCAACAAGAATTTCAACAAAATTATTAAAGACTTCATCTTTGCTATTGAATTTTATGTTACTTGTATTATATATATATATATATATATATATATAGATAATTATAAAAGTGCCCTGATTGAATTCATAAAAAATTCACAAAAATCAAAATTTAAAAATACTCCTTATTATTTAACTCATTTGTCCAACAAAATTTTCAAAATTTAGAAGAGATCCACATCTTTTTTCCTTGGCGGGTTCGACAAAATTTTTATTAGAAAAAAAACCCTCCTTTGCTATTTATTATCTTGTTTCACTTTATTATTATTATTATTATACTAGCAAAAAGCACATGCGTTGCATGTGAGTGTTTGTATGACTGTTGTAAAGTAAAAAATTATAATAAAAATATAAGATAAAATTATGTTAGGCAAGAAGTTTTATTGTTATTTTTTTAATTCTTTTTTTTTATTTTTTTTTTATTTTTTACTTTTTAGTTCTGTGAGGAATAGAAGGAGAGTTGATGAGTTATATGAATATAAAGAGAGTTGAGAAGTCTAAATTATACATCAACTATTTTGTAAATAATACCTAAATAATTTACTTCAATTATTTTTTATTTTGATATACATAAAATCACGAAAGAAAAATATTAAAATATATATATAATGATTGTAATGATTTTTTTAAACGTCAAAATTAATTAAATAAATGTTATGTTACCATGTTCGTAAAAAAAAATAATGTATTTTGCAACTTAGGATTTGACGATGTAATCATGCAGATAACGTTGGAGTTCGATAGATAATTGACCAAATAGAAAAGAAATACACATAGAGATGTGAGATCTGAGTGGCCCATCAGTAAGTATAAAAATACATAAGTTAACTCTATATTTAATTTTAGAAGTAGAGTTTGAATCCAACATTAATGTTTTTTTTTGGGTAGAATTGGCCAAATGGGGAAGGATACACGACGAAGCGTAATTATTATTATATCAAGATGAAATAAAAACTATCATAAAACACTATAAATTAGTTAGATTGAGGTAAGAGTCTATAATGACAGAAAAGTTTTTTAAATTATATCAAGATGAGAAAAAAACCTATCATAAAACACCATAAATTAGTTAGATTGAGGTCATAAATTAGTTAGATTGAGGTAAGAGTCTATAATGACACAAAAGTTTTTTAAATTGCAAATAAATAGTACAACATGACACTAAAATAGAATATATATACAATTAATAATAATAATTCATAAAATGTCTATAAAGTTTCTACTAACAGGATTCACATACACCATAAAATAACTTTAAAAGTAATAAAAATATAAAAACAAAAATATTTTTATAAAATATAAAATATTATTATTAAAAATATAAAATGTTATGACAATGCCTCCCATTAAAAATATCATCATAATGTTAATGTAACAAAAATATAAAAATATAAAGTAACAAAAATATAAAATATAAAAATATAAAGTAATAAAAAAAGTAACAAAAATATAAAATGTTATGACAATGCCTCCCATTAAAAATATCATCATAATGTAATTATGTGATCACCTGAAAATTTAATGGAGAAAGAAAAAAAATTCCAATTTTGATACTAAAATTTAGAATATATAATATTGCGAAAACAAAAATAAAAAATATCCAAAATTCAAAAATTCCACGTCCATGATAGACTCTCATCCGAACTATTAGAGGTCATTTGGAAGTCAGAAAACGCTCTCTATTTCCTACTTAGTAAAAAAAGAAAACAAATTCTAATTTTGATTATAAAATTTAAGATACATAATTATGCGCAAAATTACCCAAAATTTGCAAATACCATGTGCATTAGACACTCTCATCCAAACCATTGTCATCTCGAACTCAAAAAACGGCTCTCTATTTTCTTCATATAAATAATGTAATGGGTTACAAAATTTTAGATTTTGATGTAATATCCCAAAAGGGTCACTATCTGATGATTATAATTTAATTATCCGTGGATAGGAGAAGATCGTTAAAGTAACGCGCTATCTCATAAGATTGAGATAGGCTCTACAGACTAAGATAAGGACTACGACTAAGATAAGGGTTACAGATTACGATAAGAATTGCAGAATACGATAAGGATTAGGCCAACAGATTACGATAAGGATTAAGGACGACGTGGACGCTACATAACATCCTGACCCAAGTCCTATAAATAGGGGGGCTAATCGACGTTTGGAGGGAGGCAAAAAACCCTAACTCAATATCTCGATTTCTCCAGAGAGATTATCATTCACATTGACTTGTTCGTCGGAGCCTACTCCACCGGTAACACGCCGGTGTTTGTAGGATCACTTTTTCTTCTCTTTATTTAGGAAGTCAGATCAGATCCGGGTTGCGCATAATCCATCTTCAACAGTTGGCGCCGTCTGTGGGAACTTATTTTTGTTCTCTAAACAAAGCATGGTTCTATTGCGATCTGGTCTGGCTGCTGGCGAGGGCGAAAGGTTGCAGGCTTCTGATGCAGGAACTTCAATGGGGCAACCCCCCGTAGTCCCAAATGATCAGGAACGCGTCGCAGCGTTGGAACAACTGGTGAACCAGTTAGTCCAGCAAAATGCGATTATTCTGCAACACTTAGCCGCCCCTAACGAGGAGAGAAACAGTGAAGTACCCAACGATGACTCCCGTAGGGTTAACAACGATGTTGAGCTTAGTCAAATAGGGGGTCAACAGAGGAGCCATCACCATCGGTCCCCTGAACGGAATACCACCAGGCTCCGTGGAGATACTTCTAGTTATGTTGGAGACAAGACTGAGGACGCCACTCAGTTCGATCTAGAGTTGCAGGATCTGAAAGCCAAGGTTGACGATGTCATGCAAGCGATGAAAGGGAAGGGCCAGGCTGCAGTGAACGATATGGTACAAAAGACTAACCTAGCTTTTAGCCTAGCTGTTATGAGTTGTCCTCTACCTAGCAAATTCAAGATGCCAACTCTTGAGAGCTTCGATGGGACGCGGGACCCTCTCGACCATTTGGAAACCTACAAAGCTCTTATGTATTTGCAAGCCGTACCGGATGAGATTATGTGCAGGGCTTTCCCTACCACACTCAAGGGTTGGGCTCGTCTCTGGTTCAATAAATTAAAGCCAGGCTTCATTGAAAACTTTGAAGAGTTGAGCAAACAATTCATAAGACACTTCATCGCTGGGCAGAAGCATAGGAGACCAGCAACACATTTACTTAATGTGAAACAGCAGAAGGGAGAGTCCCTTTGTGATTACATAAGTCGTTTTAACACTGAAATGCTGCAAGTTGAAGAGGTGGACGACAAGGTTGCCCTCACAGCCTTTATGGGAGGACTACAGACTTCTAAGTTCCTATTTTCCTTATCAAAGGAAGCCCCTACAAGCATGATAGAGTTGATGGTTAGAGCGCGGAAGCACATGAACGCTGACGATGCTATGAATGCACGAAAAAACAAAGATGGTGAAGATAAGAGGTCGGATAAGAAGAGGCCAGCACCTAGCACTAGGGAGGAAAGGGAATTGAAGTACAAGAAATTCTCAAACAACCAGGCTGACAGATCGTTTCGCCGCCCAGCGAGCCCAGGCAGGTATAATAACTATACCCTCCTAAATACATCTGTAGAGCAAGTCTTTCTGCAGATTTAAGATGACACATCATTGAAATGGCCACCAAAGCTAAAAGCTGATCCAACAAAGAGGTCTTAAGATAAATACTGTAGGTTTCACCGGGACCATGGACATAACACAGAGGATTGTTTCGACCTCAAAAACCAGATTGAGAACCTTGTTCGTAAAGGTCATTTACGCAAATTCACAACTAGAAATGGAAAATGAGGCTCCAACCCAGCCCGAGAGGGCCGAGATGATCGCCCTCCTCAACACCAACCAATAGGTGAGATCAAAGTTATATCGGGTGGCTTCGCTGGTGGTGGTGAGACGAGTTCATCTCGGAAGGCTCATGCTAGGAGAATTCGGAGTTTTTCAGAGATAAATGAAGTTGGAATGACAAGTCCTCCAACCAAATTACCTCGAGTTGAGGAGCCGGTCATAACCTTTTCTGAAGAAGATGACAAGGGAATTCACCAGCCCCACCCTCTGGTAGTTTCTATGGTCGTTGCTAATTTCACTGTTCGACGAATACTAATAGACAATGGTAGCTCGGCTGACATACTATTTCTTAGGACGTACGAGAAATTGAAAATTGGCCGAGAGAAGCTCTGACCCATGAAGTCACCACTGGTGGGATTTTCAAGCGACAAAGTATATCCACTGGGGCCAATTACCCTTCCAGTTACTACAGGAGCCAATCCAAAGCAGGTCACTGTAATGGTGGACTTTGTAGTGGTGGACTGCCCATCATCATATAATATTATCCTGGGGAGAATGACATTGAATGCTATGAAAGCAATCACGTCCACTTACCATCTCCTGATGCATTTCCCAACTGAATATGGTATGGGAGAGATAAGAGGGGACCAAACAATGGCTCGCGAATGTTATGTCGCGTCTCTCAGAAAAATAAAATCGCAAGAGGCATTTACGATTGAAGGGCTGGAAGGGAAAGATAGACCAGACTTTCATAGAGCGGAACCTACAGAGGAGCTAGAAGAGGTCATCCTTGGTGAGCCCAAGAAAAAAGTGAGTATAGGGTCTTTACTCCCCCCAGGTATCAAAGATGAACTTACTCAATTCCTCAGGAAGAATCAAGACGTATTTGCATGGGTACATGAAGACATGCCGGGTATAGACCCCACTATCATGGAGCACCGCCTAAATGTAAATCCTGACTTCAAACCTGTCAGACAAAAGAGGAGGACTTTTGCTCCAGAATGGAATTAGGCTATATTAGAAGAGGTGGAAAAGCTCTTAGAAGCCGATTTTATTCAAGAGGTGTACTACCCCGACTGGCTGGCAAATGTGGTCCTAGTGAAAAAGGCAAATGGAAAATGGAGGCTATGTGTGGATTTTACCGACCTTAACAAAGCTTGCCCGAAGGACAGCTTTCCTCTCCCAAGAATTGATATGCTCATTAAGGGAACGGCTGGACACGAACTATTAAGTTTCATGGATACATATTCTGGATACAACCAGATATCTATATACACCTCAGATAGAGAAAAAACGGCCTTCATCACTGATAGAGGTTTGTACTGTTACAAAGTAATGCCGTTTGGGCTCAAGAACGCTGGTGCAACATACCAGAGGCTAGTGAATGCAATGTTTAAGCATCAAATTGGTAGAAACATGGAGGTATATGTTGATGACATGTTGGTGAAAAGCTTAAAAGCTGAAGACCATTTGACTAACCTGCAGGAGACCTTCGAGGTACTTAGGAGTCATAAGATGAAACTCAACCCCAGCAAGTGTGCCTTTGGGGTTTCCTCAGGAAAGTTCTTGGGATATATGGTAAGCAGAAGAGGAATTGAGGCCAATCCAGAGAAGATCCGAGCAGTCATTGACATGAGATCGCCAAGATCAACCAAGGATCTATAACGACTAACAGGGAAGATTGCTGCCTTGAGTAGGCTAATCTCTCGGTCAACTGACAGGTGTCTACCTTTCTTTCGTGTGCTAAGGAAGGCTTTTGAATGGACCCCAGAATGTGAGCAGGCATTCAAAGAACTAAAGCAATACCTTAGTTCTCCCCCACTACTGTCTCAAACCATACCGGGAGAGGAACTATACATATACCTTGCAGTCTCCACGACAGCTGTCAATTCAGCTCTGATATGAGAAGAAGAAGGGGTCCAAAGGCCAGTATACTTCGTGAGCAAAGCACTTAGGGGTGCGGAGGAAAGATATCCAAGGATGGAACAGTTGGCCTTTGCTTTAATTGTGTCCGCCAGGAAACTGAGACCATACTTTCAAGCGCATACGATAGTGGTCCTAACAGATCAACCCCTTCGACAGGTCCTACATAAGCCACAAAGCTCTGGTCGACTAATGAAGTGGTCAGTAGAGTTAGGGGAGTTCGACATTCAGTATAAGCCAAGAACAGCAGTAAAGGCTCAGGTGTTGGCTGATTTCTTAGCTGAGTTTACCCCTCCAGAAGAGGAGAAACAACCCCAATTTTTGACAGAACCAAGTTTAAGTGAGCAGATGGGCCCAGAAGTAGTCTGGGACTTGTTCGTGGATGGGTCATCTACTGCTCAGGCTAGCGGAGCCGGGCTTGTTCTTGTCTCCCCAGAGGGAGAAAATATACAGTACGCACTTCGGTTTGGTTTCAAAGCAACCAACAACGAAGCAGAGTACGAAGCCTTGCTAGCAGGATTAAAAGTGGCAAATGCCCTAGGGGTTGAGCAATTAAAGGTGTACACCGACTCCCAGCTGGTCGCTCGACAAGTTCAAGCGGAATATGAGGCACGAGACGAGAAGATGAAGAGTTATCTACAAAAGGTGAAGGAATTAAAGAATCACTTCCAAAGATTCTCAATTCATCAAATACCACGAGAAGAGAATGGGAAAGCAGACGCTTTAGCCCGGCTAGCTACTGCATTAGAACCTGAGATCAATAAGAATATACCACTGGAATATTTGGATGAACCATCTATATCTCAGGAGAGACAAATTGAAGTGCAACAAGCGATATTGAGTGTGGAATGGGCAGATCCTATCATCAGATATATCAAGGATGGGGTGCTACCAACAGACCGAGCAGAAGCTCGAAAGGTCAAGATACGGGCAGCTAGGTATACGTTTATCAAAGGGGTGCTCTACAAGAGAAGCTTCTCCATGCCGTATTTACGATGCATTTCTAGCGAGGAAGCTGACTACATTTTGAGGGAGATCCACCTAGGAGTTTGTGGAAACCATGCTGGGGGTAGGTCACTTGCAAACAAGGCCATCCGACAAGGATACTATTGGCCCACCATGCAGAAAGATGCACTTGACTTCGTTAAAAAGTGCGACAAGTGTCAACGATTTGCCAACATCCCGAGACAACCGTCAGAGGAGATGACTCCCATGTCAGGACCATGGCCATTTGCTCAATGGGGAATGGACTTGATTGGCCCTCTCGTCAAAGGCAAAGGGCAGACTAAGTATGCCATTGTTATGGTTGATTACTTCACTAAATGGGTAGAAGCTAAGCCTCTGGCCAAGATCACATAGAACAATATAAAGAAGTTCGTATGGAAATCAATAGTTTGCAGATTTGGGATTCCTAGAGTGATTGTCACAGACAATGCAAAACAGTTCGATAACTCTGACTTCAAAAATTTTTGTTCCGAGCTCGGGATTCAAATTTATTTCTCATCGCCAGGACATCCCCAGGCGAATGGACAGGCCGAAGTCACTAACAGAACAATCCTTCAGATGATCAAGACTCGACTTGATGCTGCAAAGGGACTGTGGCCTGAGCAGCTGCCGAGTGTAGTGTGGGCTTACCGTACTATTGCAAGGACTCCCACAGGGGAAACCCCTTTTCTTTTAGCGTTTGGAAGTGAGGCAGTAGTACCTGTAGAGATTGGCCTAACAAGCTTTAGGACAGAGCACTACGAGCCCAAGCAGAATGAAAGGGAGTTGGAAGTAAGCTTGGACCTGATCGAAGAAAGGAGATACCTAGCCCAGATTAGGATGGCTACCTATCAACAGAAGGTTTCCAAGTATTACAATGCTCGGGTCAAGCCTAGGAGGTTCTTAGTAGGAGATTTAGTACTCCGCAAAGTTACTCAGGCAACTAAGGATTCAACCATAGGGAAACTAGGTCCCAAATGGGAAGGGCCTTACAAAGTTACACGATGTCAGCGACCAGGAACATACTGGTTAGAGGACTTAAAGGGAAAACCACTGCCTCACCCATGGATTGTTGAGCATCTAAAGAAATATTATCAGTAAACAATTTCAGTTTAGTCTCAATTTATTATTTATTTTTGCTAATACTTCTAGTTGCAATAATTACTTCATTCTCTACGAATGAATGTCTTCAATAGCCTTGTTATCAACTTTGGCTTTAATAAAGTATTCCCTACTTGGATCAGTTGTTTCAAATAATTCATTATCATTTTGATATGTTAAGATATTCATGTTAAATGGGTGAGTTGGGTGAAGCTCATAATAATCTACTTCCCTTGTTAAAGGGTGAGCTGGGTGAAGCTTATAGCAATCTACTTCCCTTGTTAAAGGGTGAGCTGGGTGAACCTCATAGCAATCTACTTCCCTTGTTAAAGGGTGAGCTGAGTGAAGCTCGTAGTAATCTACTTCCTTTGTTAAAGGGGGAGCTGAGTGAAGCTCGTATACATCTACTTACCTCATTACATAAACGAGCTGAGTAAAACTCGTCTTAATGTACTTTCCTTATCAAAGGGATGAGCCGACCAAAGATGTCAATAAAATAACATAATGCGGTAGTCGCAATGGCAAAACATAACTGTCCTTCCTACTTATCAACCCTACAAATATAAATGGAAACTGATTGTAAAGAAAGAGAAGTTTCAAGCACAAAGAGAAACATGGGAGCAAATAAATGAATGGCTACACATCTATCCTATTCGGAATCACTCGCTTCATCTAGTTGAATGACAGAGAAGTCTTGGTCTGCAAATTCAAAAGCAGCACGATTCCGAAAATCTTCGAAGCCGTCAAAGTAGGCCTTCGACATAATCTCCTTGAAGGTGGGTGAGGCTTTAAACTCACCCACTGCATTAGCTCTTTCCATCATTAGTTTCTGGGACATCTCCTTGTTGAGTTTTTGCACATAAGATGCATGACAAGCTCGTTCTGTTTCTAACTCAACACGCATTGCTTGTAGAGCGACCTCATGTTTATCACGTTCCACTTGTAAATCGGCTTGGTGTTGGGAGCGAGTAGAAGCCAACATATTGGTGTAATGCTCTCCTCCTTTTACAGCTAGACACGACAAGTAATACGCGTATGTATTCACCTGTACGCACGTGGGAATAAAAAGTTACAATGAAGAGGAAAAGAAAAGCTAAATAAAAACAGAGGATGGTGCGAGAGTTAATCCGTGCGAGATCATGCATGAGTCGGTCTACAATCTCAGTTGGAGGGCGTGAATTCAGATACATCATATCCTCCTTCGACAAAGACTCGCTTATCTTCTTAAAAGCAAGTTGAGCATTGCCTAGAACAGATGTTGCTGAAGAGTAGGGATCTGAGGGGAGTACCGCTGCTTCAGTAAGGAGTGGCATAGTCCCATCCACAAGCTGATGAGGGAATTGCGAGTCAGATTCGTGTGGAGAAACAACTGAAACAGGTAAGACCCTTTGTGCTGTAATAGTAGGCTTCTTTTTTTTCCTCTTGGCGGAGAAAGTAGGTGGGAAGTCACTTGAGCCTTCTTTGAACTGAGCTAGAAGCCTCTTATTAAGTTTTCGGGATATAGTTACAGAGGACTTGCCAACTGGCTGAGGACCAATCCCATGGGTAAACAAAGTCTGAGGTGTCACGAGTGAAGACCAGTCCCTCATTGGGTAGTTAAAGGCTTTCTTTATTCGCTGGAGATCATCAGATGAAACGGCAATCTCTTTAACGCTTGAAAGAACAACAACTCTGTTAATAACTCAAACAAAATTTACTTTGAGTTTTAAAACATAAGAGGGTATCATTATGGATAACTCACCGGTGGAATTCTGATTACACCACGCACGAGGAATGGAGGTCCCTATTCGTAAGAAAGCACTTTCTTCAGGAAAGAACTCCCAGCCATCACCAGAAACGAAAAAGAAACTGCTTTTCCATGGTTTGTGCTTAAGGGGAATTCTAGAGATAAGAATTCTGTCCCGTGGGGAGAAGTACAGCCAGTCACCCCTTTTGGGAATGTAGCAATGAAGAAACTCTTGGATAGTGAGCGAGGTATTACAACAAGCTCGCCACAGAACTAAACAACCCATCATTGTTTTCCAGGCATTCGGGGAGAGTTGAGTCGGAGCAAGATTAAGGTGACGCAACAGTTCCCTAATAAAAAGAGGGATTGGAAAACGCAATCCGGCAATAAAAGCAGACTCATAGAAATAAATCTCAGTTAGGTAAAAGGAGGACGCTTTATCATCAAGTGAAGGAAGTCTGAGAGCAACACTGTCTGGAATTGAATAAGTTTGCCTGATCCGATCCAGATCCTGTGAGGTAAGGGAGCCTGCTATATCCTGTACCAGATGTGTCTCTGAGGGAGCCGAATCAGACTGGCGGTGTTCCTCATCTGACATAATGTTAGATTCTGGGTAAAACATGCTGGCAGTAACACACGCTACTGTATGCAAGAGCCTAGCTTCACAGTGACCTATAAAATTTTCTAACTTTGGTCTTGGTATACTGAGTTGGAGGAAAAAGCAACAACGAATTAAATAGAAGCAGGAAGAAAACGAGGGCATGGAACTTACCACATCACTACGACTGGCACTACCTGGCTTTCTGGATGATGGAAGTAATTTGAATGAATTTTACTCGAACCATCTCGGTTTATAGCAGAAGAACGTAAACAGATAAGGAAAGTATTTCTGGTGGAATTCTAATAGAAATCTGTTTCGTGAGGGACAAGCAGCTCTCAGCGGGCTATTTTACTTTTACAAGGTAGAATAGAATTCGGAGTTCGAATAGGACAACCACACTGGCAGCCCTGCATGAGTTACCTATGTGCCAAAAGGTAGGCTACCAACATGGCAGCTCGACCCCCGACTGTATCCGCGAAGTGGCAATCTAAGTCAAGTTAATGGATAAGGCTCTACTATTTCATAATCAAACCAACTTATTGTAGAAATACAGGGTGAACGGTTCTACAATTCCAGCTATTCGTTATTATGTCATATTTGGGAATTAACGTTCCGGTGGTTTGACAAGCAATCCTCCGAAACGGGGGACAACTGATGATTATAATTTAATTACCCGTGGATAGGGGAAGATCGTTAAAGTAACGCGCTATCTTATAAGATTGAGATAGGCTCTACTGACTAAGATAATGATTACGATTAAGATAAGGTTTACAGATTACGATAAGAATTGCAGAATACGATAAGGATTAGGCCAACAGATTATGATAAGGATTAAGGACGACGTGGACGCTACGTAACATCCTGACTCAAGTCCTATACATAGGGAGGGCTAATCGACGTTTGGAGGGAGGCAAAAAACCCTAACTCAATATCTCGATTTCTCCAGAGAGATTATCATTCACACTGACTTGTTCGTCGGAGCCTACTCCACCGGTAACAAGCCGGTGTTTGTAGGATCACTTTTTCTTCTCTTTATTCAGGAAGTCAGATCAAATCCGGGTTGCGCAGAATCCATCTTCAACAGCTATCTATGAAGCACGGACACGGATACGGATACGGGATACGGGTACGACACGACACGGATACGGCGACACGGCAAATTTCAAAAAAATAGGACACGGACACGGCGGGGATACGCCTATAAAATTATATATATATATATATATATATATATATATATATATATATATTTAAAATATAATTATTAGAATCTTGTACAGGTAAATAAAACAATAACAAAGAACAGAATCAATTTCAATAATTTCATCTCTGTTATAAGAAAAATATAGACAAGACAAAACAGAAAATAAATGAAAAATAAAGTTGATCCAAATTCCAAACGAAGATGTGCAGAAGAGACATAGCTATAATGAACTAAATATGTATATGAATAAACATATATATTTTCAGTCTTTCACAAAATCTTGTTCGCGTAATTTAAATATATATATATATCTTATTCATGTAGAGAGATAATTGAAGAATATGAGAGACTGAAAGAGGAGTGAGAGAAAATAAATTTTGTCTCACAGAAGTGTCGGACCGTGTGTCCGAGTCTCGGACACGGGTGTTGGTGTCCGAAAAGTGTCCGACACTGGTACGGGACTCCTGGAAGGAGTGTCCGTGCTTTATAGGTCACTGTAGATGGCTCCAAAAGTACTTTGTATATCAAAATCGTTGTGACATTGTGATTTTTTTGAAACATTACAATTGCCAAGTGTTGAAATAGTATTATCATTAAATTTTCACATGTCATGGTCTTCAAAGAAGTCTGAAAAGCAATAAAATTTCACATGGTCAATATTTAGATAAATTAAAAAAAAAAAAGAGAAAAAAATAAAAAACCAACAACCGAACTCATCATTCAAAATTCAGAAGAAACAAAAC